AGAAACCACTAATGATATTGTGTGTGTTTATACTGAGAGAGAGAGAGGAGAGGAGAGAGAGAGAGAGAGAGAGAGAGAGAGAGAGAGAGAGAGAGAGAGAGCATGTGTCACCTGCCTGTGAGCTTGTAGAAGCACCTGGGTGCCCTCCTCTATTGTTCTCCACCTTATTTTTTGAGACTGAGCCTCTCACTAAATCTAGACCCTGCCAATTTGACTAGACTGACTGAACAGCAAGCCCTGGAGATCTGTATGTCTCCATCCTCCAGCCCTAAGGTTAGAGGTGTGTACCATAGTGCCTTACTTTTAATGTGGATGCTGGGGATCTGAACACAGGTCCTCAAGCTTACACATCTCTCCAGACCCCTATGCCTGTCATTTCAACTCATCCCACGCTCCCCACTCTCGTCCACTGTCTCCCAGAATACCACCTGATCACCCTGTGTGTGGGCTCCCCGTTGGCTTTTTAAATCTCTCCCCAGTTATCATCTCCCAGGAATCAGCCCTTGTCTCCTCTGGAGCAACTTGCTCCCCCAATGACAGTCTCATCACACACCCCTGAACCTGTTTCCTGGCCTCCTTGATGACTCTCTGAATTCCTCCAGATCCTCTGGATTCAAGTGTAGGACAGGGCCCACCCAGGAAGGTTGGGAAGGAACCCCACGTGTGCATTCTCCCTTCCCTCCCTCTCTGCCCTCTGTTCCAGTCAGTGCTGGCTCAGGCAGTCTAGGTGGGTGGTGGGAAGTGGGGTGGTCTCCAGGACTTGGTACCCATGACACCCTGTGCAGAACTAGACTCGAGCATTGAGGAAGCTCCTGGTTGCCAGATGGGGCAGGGGAAGGTCATGAAGGTCACTTACCCAGGAGGCAAAGGAAGGCCAGGACAAGGGGAGGTTTCATTCTGGGGGAGGTGAGCAGGGGGCACAGGAGCCTGCCGCTGTGGGAGGAAGTGAGCAGGGGCCTCTGATCTCAGGCCACCTCCCAATTAGTTAAATACACAGGTCCTGTCCACTCCCCATCATTAACCCTTAAGTGTCCAGTGATGCAATGATTCTTCGAGCTCTGACACTTTGGCTATGTTCCCAGGGGGAGGAGCCCACTGGGGCCCAGGGGCTCTTCTTCCAAGGGGTGTGGGAATGGGGGGCAGGGCAATCTCTTGGCCCTGTGTTTTCTCCTGCACCTTTCCCATCACCCACCCCCACTTTCCAAAATCATTGTCCTTGCTCAGTGGGATGTGCTGAGGGCCAGTGACTGTGCTCTGATTTTCGTGCTTGGTCTTTCTTCCTGTTTTACCAACTCTGCGACTAGGCCCTACAGAGGCAGAGAAACTTAAGCTCTTCCTAGGGTCAAGTGCCAAGTCTGTCCTGTTTCCACTAGCAGAACAGAGACAAGGTGTCCCTCCCCAGCCTTCCCTGTTCTTGTCTGTGACTGGGATAACTTGACCATCCACTTCCATCAACAATCAGGGCCTGAGAGTCCTGGTTCCACCACTGATCACGAGGCCTTGGGCAGGCCTTTTCCCTTGCTTGGGACCTCAGTGTCCCTGTCTACTTACAGAGACCGAGGCATCCTGGCTGGCCGCCTTCGTGGGAGCTGGCCCTTACTGAGCATGTGTCGCCGCCCTAGGATGAGCCACTCACAAGTAGGGCCGAAGCCAGCGTCTCAATAACCCCGTGGAGTGTAGGCTTCGCTCATTCCCATGTCACAGAGGAGGAAACTGAGACACACACACCTCAAAATGGTGAGCCCCAGTGTGGGCCCAGCTACTTGAAAAGGCTTGCCCAGAGCCGACCTAGCCCCTGGGGAAAGCACAGTGTTTGGAAGACCATGATTTCTTACAAAATCAGTAGAATATGTATAATTCAGCTTGGACTATATCTGACTTTATATTAACAAAGTTATAAAGCCTAACTTTATACATATATATATATATGTATATGTATATATATGGGATTTTTCCCCCCTTTCAGTCTGGAAGAAAAGGCTTTTGTAAGTCAGGCTGTGGCCCTTGATTAACATCCTCAACTTCAGGCCTTGGCACTGGGGCTGATGGGAAGGAATCCAGTTACCTGGCCAGGGAGTTTCTCCATGGAGATGGAGGAGAGAGCTGAGTGGCAGGGATTCTTGGGCTGTGATTTGGGATTTAAGGTTTTGAACACAGGAGGGAAGCCCTGTAAACACAGTTGCGTACAGGGCCACAGCCCTGCCCCCTGCCCCACCCATTCACTTCCTGCTGCTGACTCCCCTAGGTCTCTGGGTACTGCAAGCTCTTGCCCTGTTGAAGAGGAGACAAGTTGGGAGCAAAAGTGAGTCCCCTTATCCAGAAACACCCTGCAGCTGTGAGTCACAGTCTCATAAGAGGGGACCGCTTTGCTTGGCATTTCCTTTTGATTTTAATGAGGGCTCCTGGCAGCCCCTGGGTCTTGGCCTGGCTCACAAGGCCCAAACTGTGACTCACTGGAGGAGCTGCCTCCTAAACACTGAAAATTAGCTTTAATTCCTGAGAGGCTTGACCTTCTGTAGAGCTGTGATGCAAGGAGAGTCTGTGTTCTGAGACAGTCACTTTTGGGACCCATTTGAGTCCTGCTGTGGCTGGGATGGGGACTCTATAAGATCTGTACCCGTGGTGGGGAAATCCGGGCTGGCTTTCAGAAGGAGACTTGCAGTTGAGGTTTGCTGTGCAATACTGGTAGAGTCTGGCCTTGGAGGGGTCCAGACATTCTGGAAAGGATGTTGATATTAGGGTCTTCGCACCCCTGGCATGATACAACAGGAAGTGTGCCAAGGTTTGGTTCCTGCACTTAGGGACTGACACAGGCCAGTCCTGTCACCTCTCTGAGCACAGCTTCATCAGTCACAAATTGGCTTGACCTTTTAGGGTTGTAGTCCAGATGAAAAGAAAATGAGGTAGGAAGGCCCTTTGTAGGAGGCCTCGCCCGCAAGGAGGACCCATCAATATTGGGTCCCTTTTTCCCTCCCCAATTTCCTGGGAGGTGACTGCTGTCTGGAGAGCTTAAGGCACTTACTCAAGGCATGCCACCAACTGGGCTTCCAGCATTCCAAGGGTCTGTTATCCCCACCTGACAGATGGAGTGTGGGTAGGGCAGAGGTCAGGAAGGGTAGAGTGTTTGGTATGAAGGTCAGAGGGAGATATGTAACAGGAACTAAGCGCACAAACTCAGCACCGTCTTCTTCCTCTTGATATAAATTTGTCTCTTTGGGGGTTTTGGATATGTAGCCCAGTTGGTATAGTGTGCTTGCCTAGCATGCACAAAACCCTGAGTTTGATTCCTGGCACTGCACACACTTGTAATCCCGGCACTGGGGAAGTAGAGGCAAAAAGATCAGAATTTAAAGGTCATCCTCAGTTACAAAGGAATTTAAGGCCAGCCTGGGCTAAATGTCTCAAAAAAACAAAAAAAGGTTGAAGGGGGTGGGGGCAGGGGAAATAGCTCAGTCAGTAAGAGTGTTTTCTGGATAAACATGAGGACCTGAGTTTGAATCCCCATCATCCACATAAAAAGTCAGGTGTGGCTGCACATGCCTGTGATCCCAGTGCTGTGGGAGGTAGAGGTGGCTGGGACTTAGTGAGAGACCCCATCTCAAGGGAAGAGGCAGGGAGGATACAGAACACCTAATGTCCTCCTTTGGCCTCTGCCTGAGTGCTCATGGGTATGTGCACATGCACATACAACGCACACACACATTTATCACTAGCTTAGAAGTCGACACTGTCATCATCATCAAAGCAGATGACTACTGTTTACAAAGTTCTGTCGTGCCCTGGCACTGCACTGTGAGTCCTGCTGTGTTACCTGTTCTGGCAGCTCTCTACCACTTCTCCAGCATCTTACAGATCTTGTGGAGCCCTCTGAGCCAAGTGGCTTTTATTAGTCACTTTTCCTGCTACTGTGACAACACACCTGACAGAAGCAACGTAAAAGAAGAAAGGTTTATTCTGGCTCATAGTTTGAGGGTGTCATCCATGGTAGGGAAGGCACAGGAGCAGGAGTGTGAGGTGGCTGGTCACATGGCATCCGCAGCCAGGAAGCAGAGAGAGAGATGAGTGTTGGTGCTGAGCTTGCTGTCTCCTTTTTATTCAGTCCAGGACCCAGCCCATGGGATAGTGCTGGTCACATTCAGGTGGGTCTTCCCTCCTCAGCTTTCTGAAAATATCCTCAGAGACAGGCCCAGAGGTTTGTTACCCTGGTGATTCTAAATCCTGCAAAGTTGACAATGACCATTATGGTGGGGTAATCTTATTTTTGGGAGAATCTATTCTGTGCCGAGGACTTATTCTGTGCTGTAGACTTACTCTGTGCTGAGGATACACTGGAGAGCAAAAGTAGGGTGAGTTCCCTGCTGCGTTCATCTGGTAAGGATTCTGGAGGGATGGGAGCCTTCAGGCATGGTTGGATCAAGGCTGTCACTCTGTCCCGCTCCTTCCTATTATCAGCCTTGTTCTTAAGCTGACTTCTCCCATGTTTGGCAGATGATCATGTGTTAAAGGGCCTCTTTCTTCCTTCTTCCTTTAGGAGACAACAGAGGCTGCACACCTTCTACAACCCTTTGTTCTATGGGGCTAACCTGGCACTGTCCTTGTGGTGGGAAGCAGGTGGATGCTGAGTGATTGTCCTTCAGGGTCCTCATTGGATCTGGGGAGGAGGATATTGGGTAGGCATATCTTCTGAGACACTCACTCCTCCTACCCAATCAGTCAGCTTCATTGCATGAGGAGGACGGTCTTAGGACAGACACCGAGGAAGCCAGGAAGTGGCAAGTAGTTGCTGTCTTGGCGCTGCGCTGGCAGTGAGGAACTCAAAAGCTTAGTGGAGATGTAGGGGAAAGAGCCCATGGGTGCCCATGCCTTTGTAAGTAACCCTCTTCTGGACATCATAAACTATACAAAACCCCAAACAGAATGTATCATGTTGGTTTTGTCAGTTAGTATTAGGATGGAGTGGCCCTGGGATCCCAGAACGTGCAGGTCTCTTGGGAGAATTTGGCGCTGTGACAGAGGAAGTAGCACCTGGTGCACAGTTGCTATGTGGTGTAGAGGGGATGGCTCCCATCCTATTGGAAGAGTGGTCAGAGAGGAGTAGGTGCTACAGAAACAGCCAGAGTGTGTCCTTCTCACTCCTATTTCCAGAAACAAGGGGTCTTCTTGAACTACCTTCAGGACATCCAGAAATGCCTATTGGGTTGGAAGTGGGGTAAGAAGGGCTCACTCTGTGAGACTAGGGAGAAAGCCCAAAACCAAGAGAGTGGCCCATACCTGTAACTCCAGCATGTGGGAGGTGGAGGCGGGAGGATCAGGAGTTCAAGGTCATACATGGCAGCATAGAAAATTCAAGGCTAGCCTGGACCATGAAAAAAAAAGTACAAGGGATGGAGAGATGGTTCAGCGGTTAAGAGTACTGACTGTTCTTGCAGGAGACTCAGATCCGAATCCCAGTGCCCACATGGTGGCTAGCAGCCATCTGTAACTCCAGTTCCAGGAGACCTGATGCCCTCCTCTATTGTCCATGGGCACTGTATGACACGGGTGCACTTGCATACATGCAGACAATACACTCATACACATAAAATAGAAATTAAAAAAAACACAAACAACAACAAAAAAACCCCAAACCAAAAAGACCAAACATACACACCGAAGCCTACTCCCTAAAATCATGGAGTTAAAAATAGTACCAGAAGCCGGGTGTGGTGGCATACGTCTTTAATCTCAGCACTCAGGAGGCAGAGGCAGGCAGATCTTTGTGAGTTCGAGGCCAGCCTGGTCTACATAGTGAGTTCCAGGACAGCTGGGGCTACAGGGAGACCCTGTCTCAAAAAGACAAAAAAAAAAAAAATTGGTA